ATACATGTACTCTATACACATGTAGGCCTACCACAAACGCCGCTGACATTCCTCACTGGACCTGCCTATTGAAATCTCTGGAATAAAAAAGTTTTAATCCAGTAGCTTATGTCATATCCACTGCAATAGTCGTTCTTTGTGAGGAGACTCCAGATGGCATAAGAAGAGTAAAAGGAGAGCAAAAAAAAGACTTTCCAAAAGTTTTCGTTTTAGTAGAGGTTTTACGGCGTTCGCAACTGCATAAGGTCATATGAGTGCCAGAAGATTAGAGGTGTTACAAGAGAGTAACAAACATAAAAAAAACAAGGGGAGATACGGACGATAGATGTTTGATAGGAAAGAAGGAGCAAACCACACCAGAGCACCCGCCAACCACCCACTTAAAAAGTTTAAGTAAGCGTTTTACCGCACTTGCAACATAATACAAGAAATGCAATTATTATAATTATTATATTAAAGTGTTGAAGGCTGGAGTTGTTACAAGAGAGTAAAAAACACAAAAAAGAAGGCAGGACGATAGAGATAGAAAAGAAGGAGCAGACCACACGGGAGCACCCGCCAACCACCTACAATTTGTACTACAAACAAGACTTAGAAGAAGAAGAACGGTGACGATTGTGATGAAGAAATAACGATGGACCACCTAGAGTCTCCTTGAGAAATTGACAAAACACAGGACTGGGTTGCTCTCTTTCTTTTTAGTTTTAGTTTGAGTAAAGAGAAACACACCGAAACAATAACTTCAACTTTAATTTAGTGAAGGGAAAAAATAAGATTGATAGTAGTGATTGAAACAAATGGAAAAGCAAGAAAGTAAGGTTTATCAGTGGCATCCTCCAGCCACTCGAGGCGACTTCTGGTAGAGGTCTTCTCACAATTTATACACACACTCCTGAGACAGCGGAACTTAATACGGGGTGCCCACTACGGCTGGGATCGGGCCGATCGCCTCAAAAACAAACGTGTTTGTTTTCAGTTTCAGGCGATCGAGTCGGGCGATCGGCCCGATCCAGCTGTATAAAAAATCAAGCGTTTAAAATATGACAACCCATGTCAAACGTGCAGAATACACAGACTACTATCTTAACATCAGGAATTCTTTTTGCCTTTCAGAAAATATGAGTGTGGGTGGAACCAAATGGCACACAAGCCAACTAGGCAGGGAGTGGTCTTGCTGTGGTCACCGAAGTTGAGGAAGAAAAACTGGGTTGTTTTTTTAATTGATTTTTTTTAAACCTCCAATAAAAAGACCCACATTATTTCAACGTTCAGCTCAAACTTTATTCTCTTTTACTTAACAGTACTGCAAGAGTAAGCTCTACACATAATTAAACATCCATGATTTACAAGTAAGTATAAATATTAGGGAACAAAAGAATTCATCCACAACATAAATATTGGCAATAACAAGAAATGCAAAATATTAGTATTTATGCCATACATTCCTTAAGTGAAAGGTGTTGCACAAATTTTTCTCCACAGAGGAACCAAACTTGTCAGCAATCCTTCACTGGCAATGACAAGTAATAAAAAAAATAAACCAACAACAAATTAGTAATAAAATACAATTGTTAAAAATAAAAAAACACCATTAACTCAGTAGAAATATCTTTCTTGCATTGAGTGTGCAAACATTGTTTCATAGCCTTATTCAGCTACATCGCTTTATAGCAATTAAATACATAAATGAAAGTAAAATAATATTTTCCTCCTTGTTGAAATATTCCTACTGACAAAAATTAGAAGAAAAAAAGCTATGCAAACCCAACATGATAAAAAAAAAAAGACCTAAAAAATTCCACTCCAAAACAGATCAATTCCACTAAACACTTCAACACACTTCCAAAATTACGGACAAACTCAAAATTGAAGTCACACCAATACTTCTACTTTTCAAATTTAAAAAGAATGTTGTGCTATAGCGGTAGGGTCTGAAGTACTTGAATAAGCGAGGTAGGGAATAAGTAATCCAACATTGGAATGACTTATCTTGCGTCTACTCTGGGGGTAAAACTCAAACTAAAAACACAGAACTGAAGATATAATGTATAGCAGAAAGAAATCCTCCTGAGAAATATTATACATCTTGAAAAGTCAGGTTAGCCTTTAAGGAAACATACACATTTTTAAAATAAAATTAAACCTTATACGTACTCTTACAATCCAGAGATTAACCAAGTTCCAGTGAGGGTGAAAAGTAACTTAATAGGCTAATCAAAAACATAAAAATAACCTTCTGTCCTGAAAATGCATTGTTTAATATTTTGACATTAAAAAAAGAGAAAGTTTTAGTATACAAAGGGCCATGTCTTAGACTAAATTTAAACTAATATATAAACAAAGTAAACGGAATAATGTAACGAATGAACTTGAAATTTACTTTAAAATAAAATCTTAAAAACCTTTGAAAATTACTGTTTTTTCATGTAACTAGAACAACAAATAGTCCTCCCAAAAATTTAAAAACTGCTGTAACACACCCCAATCGTCTCAGCAGTGAGAAGTTAGAAGTAGAATTGCTACAACAATGACATATGTAATCCTTTGACGTTTTCATTCCGCTGATTCCTTAAAATTACAAGTGTCAATAAATCTTTGTTTTAAATTAAATTAATTCACGTTCAGAAATTTGTAAGAAACAAGCAAGGCACTGAATTAACATAAGTTAGCTGTTAAGAATTTTTTAACTCTAAAAAACAGAACTGAAGTCTTTAAAAAAGAAAAGAAAACAATCTGGTATGAGAACATCAACAAAATCCAACTCTTTTGAGCAAAAAGTAACAAAGTAGATCTCAACTAAGACTGTGCCAAACAATATTCAGATCAGATGAAACAAGAAACTGGCTTTCAAAAGAAACAGACCAACAAATAAAGAATTTTAACTCATTCAATAACAACATAAGTAATGAAAGTTTTTAAAATTACTCAAGGAATACAAAATGAATACGGTAAGGAATCTAAAAAGCATGAATACTTTAACAACAAAAGGCCATCTTGGACAGCAATTCTAATAGCTCTATGATAAAGTAAAAAATTTAAAAAGGGTTGGAGGTGCACTTTTATTTCACAAATACGAAAAAACATCAGGTTTCATGAAAGCATGGGTATCAAGCTTCCATTTGCAGAGTGCATCTGGAATTTTATCAAACTTAGCACTATTTTCATATACACCTTAGGAAGCTGACAAAACTTCTAAAGCTAACTTTCTTCTAAACAGTGATATTCAAAGAAACGTAAGCTCTACCTGAAATTGTATAATGTTACATACAAGGAAACAAGAGTTTTTTATCTAATCTGTCTGAGAAAAGCAAGACTATACTAAAATCACACTTTGGAGTCCATAGGCTGAATTTTGAATCAGTTCAAGGTAAATGAGTTCCAAATTGCAGTTAGCAAAGACCATGACATAAACTACACTTCAAGACCTGGATTACTGTTCACCTGTATATTGCTGTTTAGGGGCTTTACTATGCAAGACACCTTTATCATTATATTCAAAAGTGTATACTTCTGTCTTGGCTTTCAGAATAATCCAAGCTCAAGAGAAATGATTCCCACAATTTCCTATCTAAATTCCCGGTGGCAAACGATCCTATAAATCTGTCACTTTATTTCATACTTGTCAAAGGAATAATACAAGATGTCTCACGCTATACCTAAAATAGTGCAAAAACCACTCAGAAGGAATCTTGTTTACAAGACAAAATGCAATGCAAAATGCTATAGTCAGTTACAAACTTGACCAAAACAAACAAAAATTTTCAAATTGGCTCAGTGTCTCAAAACCTTACCGAAAGACTTAAAGTTCTGTCTTCTCAAAACTGCAAACAATTTTATAATAATCTAATTCCACCTAAATGAAAAACAAACCAAAACATGTGCTGTCTTTAAGAAAGACACTTTCTTTTTTAAAACACAGCTGATAATCCAGTCGAGACATTAAGTCCATGACAGGTATAAACTGTCAGGCACACAAGATATAATAGATTCATAAGCATCTCTGTTCACTTATTACAAATTTAGCCAAGGCCAAGAGGCAAAATAAATGCAACAGAGAAATAGGCTTACATGGGTGGATTGGGGGTGGGGGAGGAAGAACAAAGACAGGCATTCCTCATTAGGGAATTAGGGAATGAGATCTAGACAAAATACAAGCATATATTATACGGTCCACCGGTAAATGATTGAAAAACTCATGGAAACAATGGAAACTGCAAGGTCTACTGTATGACAGTGGAAGGATCCAGCAGCTGTACTTCATATCACAATAGCAGAAAAAACAAAACGGCAATATGCAATATATGAGTTTCATTATGTTTATCTGAGGTTCAATCTCTGATGCTAAACATCATGGTATGAGAAACACAAACATAAGCTCCGCTTACAGGTGAAGACTCTATTCAGATACACAAATCTCGAAAAAGTGGTAAAATCTTCCCAAAAAAATCATGTTAGTAAAAATGTCTCCCTCATTCACATTAATTGTACATAATTGAATGTTAGTGGTAAAAATCCTGCCTAGTACTTAAACCTCTTCAAAATAATGTATAAAAAATTCGTATAGCCGATTTTGGCTCCTTTATCAAAGTCAGTAATATAAAAAAAAAACCTAAGACAAGTGTTACAGTATTTATCTTTGCTTCATGTGAGTGTGCAGAGGTAAAAGTGAAAGTCTTCTGCAGACACATATATTACTTTAAAACAAAACAAACAAAAAAAGTACACAATATAAAGGGGATAAATATACTATGCTCACAGAGTCTAAGGTACCAAAAAAAAATGTTTTTTTTAATCAAAAACTCAAATTTATAGTCTTGCAGTCAATGAAAAAGAGGAGGAAGTCGTACAGAACAGTTTTGCCTTATTTCAATTTCTTATACTTCCTTTTACACAATTTTGAGTATGACAATGACTCTCAGGGTCAAGCCTTAGCAGGATGTAAAATCCTAGCAAACAGAGAAAGAAACCCATTAAAATTACTTCCCCCACACAAAAATCAAAGTCATACCTTCCCTGTTTAACCATTGCACCACAGACTCTAACGCTGGGGTCACTAATTGTAGAATCTTTCCCATATTATGAGATATATTTTTGTTCAGGTTGTCACTCTTTTGTTCTCCTGGCTCTCACAAATGAAATCACAGATTTTTCCCCCCCCAGAAAATGTCCATAACTTCCAAACTTCAACTTAACTTCACTCTCAAGAGGAAAAATTTCCCCAGACTTCAACCTCATTTCAACTGATTACAAGACATTTCAAATTATGCTGCAACTGATAAAACATGACTGCTGTACAAAAATTATTTCGCATAATCAGTCTGCGTATATCCCTTGGACATCTGATCAGTCACTATGTGAAAAATTTTCTTCTAACCAGAAAGTGAATTTCAATTTCAAACATGAGTGGAGAACAATTTTTTTTTCAAAATTAACAAGGCAAAAGATTGTTCTGGAGTGGATTCAATCATCCCTGAGTGAGCTATCCTGCAGAAACGGCAAGCATAAACGACCGGTGTTGATCACTTTGACTTCGACACAAATTTTCTGTAATGAAACAAAAAGACAAAAACATTAGAGAATATATATATTTTATTATTATGTTTCTTATAATTCATACCAATAAAAAGAATACAACATTATAGTACAAACTAATTTTCAGTATATGAGAAGTTTATGGGTTTCCTAGCACTATCAGTATTTGCTTATTTAAGAAGTGGGACCTCCGAATTTACCGTCCATCTCTGATAAGACTCAGCCAAATGGTTCGAAAGCCTTGAAAATTCCACAAAACGACCCAAGTTCAAGAATGCCCAAGGTCTTCTTATATTAGAGGCATTCCATACATTTTTAACTCGATGTAGCAGTGAACTCTAGAACAGATGAGCATTTTTGGAAAATAAGAACTCTCAACAAAGTTATTACTTAATCTTATAACAGTAGCAAAGATAACATTAAAAAAGGTTTAGGAAGAGAGTGTCTACCTGGTGAAAGTGTTGTTATAACCCACAATTGGAAATACGTTTGGCTTACGAGTTTTTTTAGGAAAGGTCGTTCAATATAGAATGTAGAAAGGAAATGTAATACATGATACAATAATGTATTCAAGCAAAGCTGCCACTCAGGAATTTTTAAAAAGGAGGAAATTCATGCGAAGGCGGACGCGCGCTCTCCGAAGGCCGGAGTAAAACCAGTTAGATCCAGAGGCAATATAGGTAATATATACTGGAAAATCTGGCCTATGGCTTTGGAAGGGAAAACTGTCATATTTGTTAACCATAGGCAACTGAATTAAAATGTATTTGAAAAAAACCCCAAAAAAACAACCAAACAAAAAAACAAACAAACAAAGGCACTAAGTTGACTAACAAACATTTGAGTCAATTTGACGCAGTTAGGACTTGGTGACAAAAAATCCAGTGTTTGTTGCCAGCTGGTGTCTTATAAAAAGATTTCTTTCTCTTTAAACTTGTACATCGATGTAGAGCGCGCGCAGTATTGGATCAAGGAGGCAACACCTTTGCCGCTGTACTGAGCACTCCTGCACAATTGCGGTCCCGTTTGCACTTAACGTAGTAGTGCCCCTCCTGTAGTGTGTAGATCTAAACTGAATTAAAATTATAGCCTAGGCTATCTAATCTAGATATCTTAATATGTGTAAATCTAGATTATATCTAGAGATAGATTATCTAGCTCTAGATTCACTTCAACAGCCACAATAGCCGACATGTAAACAAACGGGACCGCAATTGTACAGGAGTGCCGCGGGCCACGATTTCTTTATCGCACCAACGCAAAGAGTAGCAAGCGGCTTGTTCAATTTTCTAAGGAACTTTTCAAGTCGCACACCGGCTGCTTCTTTCTCATTCCAGCTCCTTATATTTTTGCATTTTGCATCAATTTCTCTCGAATTTCCGCCGTTTTCAATGACAACTCGGTGCGCCAACGTCCCGATGCCCGATCGACACTTTGACTTTGTTGCTCCACAATAAACAAAGTGAAACTAGCGCTAGACCTAGAAGAACAGTAGAAAGCTACGAGCGGACTTGCGCAAGCTGCGTTTTCGTCTTTCTCCCGGTTTGGTGTTTTCCGCATGTAAAAAAAAAAAAAAGGTATCGCAATTTGCGACCGAGAGCGGTCCAGCGGAGGAAGGAGGAAAGTAGCGGTACAAGCTAGATGAAGCGGAGTTTCCGCTATTTAGCGGGAAAGTGGCAGCTATGATTCAAGGCATGAAACTTGTTTCTTAAGTAATCATGATGACTGCGGAATGGAGAGGTTAGTCTGTATGAGTATCCCAATAAAGATCACAACTGAAATTGTACTTTCGTTTCTACAACAAATGTTAAGGGGCCCGCCATTGGCTCAGTTGGTATCATTCTGGCCTGTGGAGTAGATGGCCCTGGTTCCAATTGCTAATTGAGCATTCTGAATTTGGATTGTTTTGGGGCAGGTTTTAAAACTTTCAAACCTATTTGGCTCAGCCCTATCCATAATGGAAATTAAATTTGGGGGTCCGGCCTCTTAACTAACCTTACTTATGTTGGAAAGGCATTAAACCTATACAATGACAAAATATTTAATTAAAATTTCACTTTAAATAAAAACCCACCCAAATTTATTCTCATCTGCACCTTGCAAGGCGTACAGACTGAACTAATTTTGATCCAAAGTAGGTGCAGGCAAAGCGTGCTTGAAGTAAGTTTCCCACAGCAACAGTACAAAAACCCCACAAATGCATAAATTTCAAGAAAAAGACACCGACCTAATTAATTCAGGTAACTCAGGGGCCTGATAGATCAGCTTGTGTCCATAGCCAAGGTGTCCTTCAAAGTCCACAAATTCAACATCTCCAGTCTTGTGATGCCTCGTGCCTTTGGCTCTTGCATAGAGCTAAAAAATGCACCAAAAGAAAAAAACAGCAATATTACAATAAGACTGAATCTGACCCTCACACTCTTCAGTGTTTCATTCTGAATTTCATGACCTTTTTGTTTTGTGTTTTGGACAAAATGCTTGAACACAATTCATTCTGAATTCCTAGAAGAAGGGAGAAGAATGGAGATGGGTAAAATCACAAGTGGCAGAGCCTTTTCACGTAGACATTGATGCGTAGATACACCATCTACTAAAAAGCTGTAAATTAAGAGTTTTTAATCATAATACGAAACACACTGTAATATGGTATGCTTTTTTACTTCCCAGTTAGGGAACAAGCTGTCTTGTGAAATTTCACAGCTAGTTCATCTAACATGCATCAGACATGGTATTGCTATATCTTTTACCTTTTCTCCAAGATGAAAAGGAACAATGAAGTCGTCTTTGGCATGGAGCATCATGATATTGGGAATCACTGACTCAATGCTGAAAGGAGATAATAAAGTATCTAGTAAATAATTATTATCTACTAATATAAACAAAACAGGAAAATTTAATATGTTTGACAATATTAAAACAAAGTTCATGTCAACAGAACTAAAAGAAATATATTACAGTTGAATTTTTTTTAGGCAACTGAGGCAGCTTCCTCAGACAATTGTACAAAAAAATATCTTGAATAACAGAGAAATAAAATAATACATTGAAAAGCTCATAGAGCCTATTTTTAGGAAGGGACTTTTGTTAACATACAATTCATTTATGAGCAATAACATTTAAATGCCACAGCATTTAACCCCAACCTTTCTTCGCTGTTGAAAAAAATCCCATGTTCTCCAATTCCATCAACAAATATCCATTCGAACCAGGGAAGCATCCGGTAAGGCTGAAATTTGTGCAATAGAAATAAAAAGAAGTGAAAAAATTTTTGGGAAAGACAAAATTCCAATCTACACCATGAAAACTAAGCTCACTGACTACCAAAACATGGGTTCATTCAATGTATAAAAATTTAATACAGTGGCTGTTCAAATCAGAAATGAAAAAAGATAATACAACTGTTTTGCCATAACCAGATTATCAAATCTTTCATAAAACGCATTATCATTTTGAGGCAATCATGTCTGCACTACAGCAAATTTGGATCAGACACCAATACTTTCTGTTCAAATCATAAAAGCTAAATTTTTAATTAAGATATTTTCCACTGATATTTTAAAGATTTTTAAAGGAATTTCAATGTCTCAAAATAACTCATTGTATTGAGTATGGGAGGTTAATGTGCAGAATTACCAATTTTCATCAACTGCTCAGATACGCCCTTCACTGAGTATCTTCATCTATGTCATGTCATTCAAATTTCAAAGCTCAACAGTTTTTGTCATACTGTCTTTTTTTGTCTTTTTAAAAAAATCCACACTTGTCCCTACAAATCACGATTAAGCTTGTCAACTTCAAACAGTCAAAAGAAATAACCTGACAAGTTATAGTGTCCCTTCTTTCTTGAGTCTCAAAAGCAGAATATTATGATATGGGACTGTCAAATGGTAATCACCATTAGTCCAAATATACATAAAAAACTTGAGGAAATTTTTTTATTAATTTAGTAAGCTTAGCCAGTGCGACAACAGGAAGCTGACTCCCCCATGACCCCTACATAACATGATGCGGCTCTCAGCAGGGAATCCCCCGCTGCAAATAAATTATATGGCTGGTGCCCTGTAATAAAAAAGCAACATAGCAAGAATTATTTTGCTTTTAAACTTAATTTCTTTTTTAACAAGAGAATGTCACTTACCGAAGCAAAAGGGTGGTTGAACGCAGCCTCTTGTATGTTATTGAAAGGAGACTCTAGTACAATGCCAGCTGGATGGTCACCTGTGGACAGGAAAACATAAGAGATGACCAGATTGAGCATTACAGAGCATGAAGCATTCATACTTTTTTTAGACTAAAAAAATCAGATCCAGTCTATCAACATCATGTTCACACACAATGTTGTTATCAACCCAGCAAAAGCTGGGCTTTTACCATAATTTTATTAAATTCCATGAATGATAAGTGCAGGTTTGCTTTAGTTTTAGTAAGAGTTTTACGTCACTTGCAACACAATAAGGTCATATAAGTGCCGAAGATTAGAGTTTTTTCTGTTTAAGTGAAGGTTGAGCTGTATACCTTCTGTATGGTTTGTTCCTTCCAATGAAGGTGTTTGATACTGTCATTTCGTTGTATTGTAGTCGTATGTTTGAAAAACGCTCTGGCTGTCTTTCCCAAAAACGAGATAACCAATCTTGAACAAACATACACGACATAGTAAAACTAAAACATAACGGCTAAAAAAAATTACAAACAGAAATACTTGCCTTCATCACTCAACTTTTTCGTCAGCTTTGTTGTTATTCTGTAATAACAAGAAAAGACGACAGAATTAGCATACTGCTAACACATGCTTTATCCATGACGAAAATACCTATTCTAGAAACATGTATGGAACTATATATTCATAAATATTTGAAGTCAAAGGTATGTTCTAACATACTCTTAACGGCATGAACATTCAGCACAAAAGTAATAGGCCAAGCTAGCTATAAACCTATTTAGTTTAACAGCACTTGCAACACAATAAGGTTATAAATGCGCCATAAAACATCTAAAGAAGAAGCATGTTACCAAACATGTCGAACATAAGACAACATAAAGATCTTCAGCATCTTTTTACCAACTGATGTTAACCCATACAAGTAACAGAAACATGAGGGAAAAACCATTATACCACAAATAATATATATGTGTTCATATCGCTAAAAAACTAGATTTTAAAAAAATAGCAATGAATTTCAGATTGCACTTACTCAGGCTACAATTACAATTTTTTTTTTTTTTAACGCTCATCATTTAGCCCCTAATTGAAATGAAGTAAACCTGTTTAGAACCTAATATCATCCAAATGAGATTTTTTTTAAAAACTGCTCTCCAACACATTGTATAAAACAATTAGGCTCTTCACCATTTCACATCAAAGACATGGGGTTCAACTTCCGCATGAAAAGGCATTTTCATCCAGAATCCATTTTTCTACACGGATGCCATATCCCACTCAGAACCTGGGCTGGTTATACAAGACAATGGGCAAAGCAACCCTTTAAAAAACCTATCTCATGTGACGATGGTTGGGTAAGAAATTCAAAATACTTTTTCAGTCTATCAACGTGAGTAAATATGTACCTAATATGTGAAATATAACAGTCAACTCACCCAGTCCCTAGGGAATGTCCCCAGATGAATATTTTGGACTTCCCAATTCTTTTTTTCAACCACTTGTATGTGTGATAGGCGTCAGCAACTACTCCATTCTCTGTAGGACTCCCTGAAGAATCCCCATACCCTAGTGAAGGAAGGAAATTATCAAGAAATAAGCTTGAAGACATAAAAAACTACTACAACAACAAAAAACCCAGTTGAAACTGCTGTAACAACCACAAGTCGAAAACAATCCCCTGTACACACAACCACTTCCCACCTTGCATTTTTGCTTTATCAATATAAAAACACTGTCCAAGAGAAGCACTTGTCTAAGATGACAACTTTGCACCCTCGACAATAAGCTGCTGTCTTGGACAGGTTCGACTTTACAACTTATAACCATTCCCCTTTCAGTAACTTGAGAGGGTGTTCATAAACACCAGGAAACCTTTTCACAAACATGAAAATTGGTGTGAGTGACTCAAAAATCACAAACCAATAATACCGAAGCAGAGGAAGCTTTGACTGCAACAACTTGAAAACAGATCTTCATTTTGCTCAAAAGATAGCTTTAAGAAGCAAGAAAAGTGTTTCATGGCCTAACAGTACAGCATTCAATTTTTCTACATTAGACAAGAAGAATCAGAAAACTTGTAACTTCATAACCAAGGAATAGCCCTGTCATTACTGAAGTAGACTCACTGTTAAAAAGATACAAGAAAATTCCTATAAGACAATGAACGCATTACAAGTTGACTCATTAACATCTCATTTGGATTAAGTTGTAAAGATAATTAAAGTATTCTCAAAGGTCTCTCCGACAAAATAACGAACATTAGTTAGATTTCACTATGACAGCCTTTCAATTCTTTGCTTGCTTTGCTTATTTCTGCTCATTACTATTAATAGAACACCCACACCCACACACGCACACATAAAAAGAAGGGGAACAAAAAAAAGGGGGGGGAGAGAGCCAAACAGAAAATACAGTCAAAGAGTTCAAACCAATTCACCTCTGTAGTCAATCGTGACCACATGAAAGTCTTGCCTGGACAGTAGTTTGTACAGCTGCACTCTGTGGTAAGAGCCTCTAAAAAGGGAAAAAGAACAACAACAAAAAGCCTTGAGAACAGGAAAAAAAAAGACAGTCACACTCTTTCTGCGAAACTGACCACAGCTGCAAGAATCGCACAAGTACAGTAGCCAACAACTAAGAACCCCATCATCGGGTCATTGGGAGACCAAAATGATCGTGGAAGATTCTGACACCCCGAGACAAAATGTTTAAAGTTTTCTACCGCTCATGAGAAAAAGTAACAGTGAAATCTCAACAAATTTTGCAATTGACCTGTTTTGGCAAAATTTACTTGTGTGTCCAGATGTTCAGTGTGAGGGTATATGTAGAGCGTAGACAGTGCCATCTGTTAGTCTACACCCCAACCTCTCCTCCTCCTCTTCCCTGTTTCCTTCTCTTCTTAAAAATAAGTGGAATATAACAGTTAAAGCACTGTATTGCTTCCTCTGTCTGTATCTATCAAGGGGCCACTGTGCTTGAAAGAGGACAAAGCCATTTGACATATAAAGAAGAGTGAGCGGCTTGTGAGAGTGTCTTTACTTCCGTAACCCCGTGCCATCTCCAGTCCTCCCCATACACCCCACAATACAGCCTACTGAACTTCACAACAGTAACTTAAAAGGTGTATTTTTCTGGCCATGATGAGGGTCTCTTTGCTTTCACAGCGTTATCTCTATGGTAAAGAAAAATACTTAGAATTAGAAAAGTTTATGTCCCTCAATTCAGCGAAGTTTTTTATTTGATTTTCTTTCTAAAAAAGGTTCTCAGAAATCTTAATCACTAAGAAAAGAAATCTAGCTTAAAAAAAGGGGGCTCTTAGACTGGGGGGGGGTTTGCCTTGCACTCTCTCTTAGGTAGACACCATTGTATTGACAAAAAAGAAAACAACCTTGCAATCCCCGCTAAAAACAAAAACTCTGATGTTTGTTTATTGAATAAAAGAGTACTAGGAGTAATCAAGACCACATGAACAAACAATTGCTTTAGTACGTATATATAAACCTAAGTAAAATCTACGCAGTGACAAATCATTAGTCCTTCTATTACATAAATGTTCTAAAACACAATAAGTTACAAATATCAAAATAAAACTAAATTGAATTTATATCATCGATAGCATCAACCATGAAGGAAAACTGTGAGAGAAATGTCACTGCATATTTGACAATGACCAGTACCTGGTGCCACTGTTGCCATGCAGGTAGAGGAACACTATCTTCCCGTTGTCCAGCTCATCCTCAAATGATTCCCAAGGAATGTTCTTCTTCTCATCGTGCATGCTTTTAGGAAGTGTATGCCTAAAAGAACCCCAAAAAAGGACAAATAATACAGATTTTAAAATGACTTTGAGTAGTAGAGAAGCATTTCGACAGACGTAATATCTGTCATGGAGAACCAGCGCAAAAAAAAAGAAAGACAAATATACAGAATCACTAGAGAGATAGAAAGAAATAAGAGTCAGGGCGAATGTTCTATGATAAAAAATAAATGCCTGTCAGGCCAACTTCCCCCCCCCCCCCTTTCAATTTCACTAAATCATAGTAGAAAACCCCTTGAACAAAACACAAAAGAAAAGCATCCCCCAAAGCCTTCTTCCTTGAAACCAGATTCAAAATTCTTGAATATATTGAACTGGTTAATATTATTCTCACCCAAACTGAAGTTAATAAGACACATTCATTTACATTTTCTATATGTAATTTATGTCAACTTTTAAGCTAAAATGTACATGAATATTCATGAATCACAATTAACAAATTGCCCAAGGGAAAATCAGAAATAGAATCTGATCTCAGCAGACCTGAGACCTTACTATCACTTTTATAATATTATCAATAATCAGAACATTCCCTCCCAAGGCATCAAACAAAATCAAAATCAAAATACCAACCAGCAGTTGACAAAAAAATCTATCCAGAAAGCTAAAATATATAGATACAATGCTGGACTTAAAGAATCAACAAAATGGTAATATAATTCCTCGAGTAAACAGGCAACTGTGAACAGCATTCTTACCATGCTCCAATATCAATCCCATCTTCAACATGCAGATAGAAGTTCCTGGTATAATTCAGTCCAAAATCACTTGGATGCGACAAATTGATGAAAGGGGGCCACCTCACTAAAGAAAAGGAAAAGACAAGCGCAAATAAACAACATGATTATTAAATTTTTTTCACTTTTAAATTACTCCACATAACATTGTTAGCATGACGAGACCTCACTCAATTTTTCAGTAAAGCTCTGTATCTAAACCAACAGTGTCAAGTTCATACAAGTACATATTTCTAAAAATGATACATTATAATAACTCTTATAATAACAATCGATGCTTTCATTAATTAAGAGAATGGGAGAAAAAACCATATTTAGACTTCACCGTTAAGTTTTAGCTGTGCATTCTGCTTCTATCAAAACACTGTCACTGTTAATTAAAAAATTGGCAAATATAATTTGTTAAACGTTGACATTAAAATGGATTTACTACAACAGTATGCAAAGACTTTCAAGAATACTTAGCAATAGCAACAGGAAAGATTCAATCAAATCAGCAATTTTTTTTTTTTTAAAGTTTTAAAGCCTACAAATGCTATCACACAAAAAATTTGACAGTTACCAACTTACAGATATTGCAAAAGACAACTTTGGGTAAAATCCACTGGTTTGCACGAACAAAGATGGGAACAGCAACATACAATAAAAACAATGTCAGCAGGCCAATTTTGATGAAGCTGAATGTGCCTTGTCCATGATCTTTAACGTACCTGAAATATCAATGAAAAAATATAAAGCTGTTTATGCATCAAACTGTAAAATCATGCTGCATGCTCTTAAAAAGTAATAAAGAATGACCCATGAAAAAGAACATTTTTAAGGATTCAGAAAGGCACGATTAAAAGTAATTCTCTCCATTTCATTCATCTCCTGTCACCGGAGAGTTAAGGCAAAAACTGAAGAAAAACTTTTTTTCAAGAATCGACAGGAACATAATTGTAAACGTCAGGAACCTTAGACTTCTAAGAAATTATGCTTAAAGAATGCAATATAAAACAAAAATCTCAACTTTATTGACACAAACTAAAAATGACACTTACACAGTTTAGACAGTTTTCAGACTCAACCCAATACAGTAGTCCCCAAGATCCCACCACTTACGATCCTGGTTCCCTTATCCCGCTGTTTTGAGAAAACAGAATTTTTACTTATGAAAGTCACCCCTTGCATCCCGGTCTGATTCACTCTCAAAGTCTACATTCGGCTAAGATCCCACATTTCAGATCATAATTTTGTAGAACAAAGTCCCAGGCAGGAACATCCAATCAACAAAGAGTGAAAAGTTATAATATCATTGAACTGCCCATTTTGCGTCAAAGATGAACCACTCCCATGAATGTGATCATAAGCGTTGTAAAACTCGATGAAACGGTATACAATGTTTGCCCCAGATAGCATCACTTTGTTTGTTTTCCCCAATGATTGCACTCTGAGCTCTCCACCCAAACTTAGCACTCACTAGGTGGGTAGGGCCCACAAGTTCGCTCCTGGCGGGATCACAACAAATTGTGAACTCTTTCCTGACCATTGCAACAGTTGTCTCTTCCCCCGAATTAGTGAGACAGAATTTTAAATGGTGTGGTCACAACGTAATGGTGCGTAACGACAAAAGCAGCGGAACTCGGTCACGAGATGGAAGCTATGAATTTTGGACAGGTTAAGGAGAGGGGATCTGACGCCTTGCATAGAGATCATGAGACTCACGACAGGATAATACGTGAAAATGACATGCCACATGCCACAGTGATTGGTCATCAAGGTTGACCACTCTTTTGCTCGCCATATGCCATAAACCCACCCAGGAGTCACGTCAGTTCATTTTACTGTGAAAGGAGACCATTTTACTGGTTGAGGGCCTTAAATTGGGTCACCGTAGATTCTTCCCTTCGTTCATCAACTAAGATCCCCTTCGCTTAAGATGCCACATTTTCCTTGCTCCCGAGCCCCGGGATCTTAGAGGGAGACTGTATTAAATAATTTTGAGAAAACATTCAAAACTTTAATTTTGATGTGCCCTCAAATCCAAGGAATCCTTGTCCAAGCAGAAATTTTTACTTAAATCTTCAGGAAATTATTTTTTAAAAAAGAGACATTTTCCTTGCAACCTCTTTCTCTATTGAGAAAACAAGTGTGAAATACAACCCTTCTCCACAGGGCCAGTGAGTCTTTTTTATTTACTTGTTTAGCCTCCACTTGGTAAACTATTATAATACCTTGTCATCTTTTTCACCAGAAACTTTTAATAGTCATGAAAACAAAATGAACATATAATCATTAGGTGAGATTAAACTGCTGAGAGACATCTCTAACCCCATATAAAAGCAAATTAACAAATATGTAGATACCTGTATCATGTTACGATAGAAATACCCAGAAGAGGTGATCGAAAGGAGTGTACGGTTGATCAATAATCTTATCACTTTCATTTATCAAGTACCCAGTCTCCCTCTCTGACCCCTCTTTCACTATTGTGCATGACAATTACATTTTGGAGATTCAGTAATTATAATTACTAAACCGAGGTTCAACTAACATCAAAAGTATGACAGTCTTCTAAGTGGGCACTTGGAAAACACAAAAATTATTAACGCATTCTCGGCAAAATCAGCCAGAGTCAGAATTTAAAAGATTAGACAAAGAAACTAGCCTGTGAACCTAAAAGATAGTACGTACAAAAAGAAATTGGAACAATTTAAGCAAAGGGTTCTTCTTCCCAGTTCAAAAAAGCTCTAGAAAATATTAAACCATATTGAAAGCTCCTGAACTTTCTCCTTTTTGACTAGACTCTACTTGCAAACCCAATTGATTTTAACCTAATAGTTCCACCAAACTAAAATAAAAAATGGCCGGCACTATTTCTACGAACGTTCGGGAAAATAAAGCTGGGCACTATTTCTCCGAACGTTCGGGAAAATAAAGCTGGGCACTATT